TTCATAAATGATATGCCTGACGTTGTACACTCCTCCATACAAATGTTTGCCGATGACGCCAAGTTATTTCGGGAAATTAAGAACCAAGCGGACTGTGAAGAGCTGCAGAAGGACCTCTGTGGGCTCCAGGAATGGTCGAAGGAATGGCTGCTGAGATTCAATGTCACGAAGTGTAAGAGGATGCACCTGGGGCGTACCAACGGTAAGGAGGCGTACCATATGTCCCAACGGGATGAAGAAAATGTACTAGTTGAGACTGTGTGTGAGAAGGACCTAGGTGTGTATGTTGACAATGAGCTGAAGTTCTCGGGCCATTGTGAGAAGAAGGTAAATCAGGCAAATAAATTATTGGGTCTTATAAGAAGGTCGTTCAGATATCTAGACGGTCCGTCCCTCGTGACGATCTTCAGGAGTGAAGTGCTTCCCCATCTGGAGTACTGTCACCCCATCTGGTCCCCGAGATATGCTAGGGACTGTCAGTTGGTTGAAAATGTTCAAAGGAGGGCCACCAAGCTGGTGCCTGCACTTCGGCATCTCAGCTACCCTGCGAGATTGGAGCGCCTGAACTTGCCTAGCTTATACTACAGACGGGCAAGGGGGGACCTAGTTGAGGTTTATAAGCATCTCAGGGGGCACTACTCAGTTGAGTGTCCTTACTTGGAGCTGGCGGACGCTCGCCCCACAAGGGGTCACAGCTCAAGATTGAAGAAGCCGCAAGTCCAGGAAAACCGTGAGGGCAAACTTTTTCGGAGTGAGGGTTGTAAACTCTTGGAACAATCTACCAGAAGTGTTGTGACGGCACGAGTGAGCTCTTTCAAGAAAGACTTGACCAACACTGGAGCGGGTTCAGGTACATTCAGGCAGTGCATGCCCAGTATTGCCAACAGTGCGTGACAGAGCGTGACCCGATATCGCCGGGCGGAGGCGCTGGTGAAAAATAATAAGGGAAAAAGGTGACCGCGCCAAAGCGGCTAACAAGCCGATCAGTGGCGAAGAGGATAAAAGTAAAAAAATATATTAGTAATATTAAAAATATATTGTACAAGGTATTGTCTTTAATGGGGATACTGTACAGTGGTCTAATCATATTTGATATAGGCCTAACAAAGCTAATAAGTACGAGATGAGACGATGTGTGAACATGCTGCTGGTGGTGGGGACTGGCCGTTGCCATGATCGCACTGGCCGTTGCCATGATCGCAAGTTTGTTTATACGTATTTATTCATTATTATACAGCATTTGCATATGATCAGCCTATTATTAAATATATAATAAAAAAAAATATGATAATAATTTGTCTTCAAATAAATGACAATGTAAATCGGAAAATAAGTTCTACCCTGTCAGTGGAGATGGAAATATTTGTTGCCGCATTCATGTTTGTGTTTATTTATTCATATTATATTCTCGTATGATCAGCCTCTTATGGTGTTTCATCACTAAGAACATAAAATATTAGATAATAAAAGAAAAAATACAACACAATTTGTTATTTGTCTTCAAAATAATGAAAAAACATGAACTGGGCCAGGTTGTGTGTGTGCGGACGAAGGCAATGCCTGATGGACAGGCTACTAAGGCGAAACCCAACAAATTGGGCTATCTACAGTCCATTGCAACTCTCCCTCTCCCCAGTCGTTGTAACACTTGCACCACTGGATCAGGAAAAGGGAGAGATATGATGTGTGGCTGCAGCCTGCGCTCCTGCCTCACCACATAAATCAATTCACACGCAGCCATCATCCAGTTTATCATACCTCTCATCATCATCAAAATCCCTATACCTCCAAAAGTCCTATGGCGATGGGGACAGGCAAAGATGGCTGCCGGGAGGCTCTACTCACAACTCTGCACATGGGCGGCACAGATAAGATGATCTTTGCTGCCCGCCAGATACAAGAAAAGTACAGAGAACCGTGTGGAGACCTGTACATGGCTTTCATCGACCTAACCAAGGCCTTTGACTTGGTCAACAGAGGAGCCCTCTGGTGGATCCTCAGCCGTTTTGGCTGCCCACCCACCAAAATTTATCGCCATTGTGAGGCAACTCCACGATGGCATGAACGGCATTGTCCAGCACAATGGCACCCAGTCTGAGTTCTTCCCCAACCAAACAGGGGTTAAAACAAGGGTGTGTACTGGCACCAACTCTCTCTTTCATTTTCTTGGCTGCCTTCCTTACTAGTGCCAGTGCCAATTTAGCCGGAGGTGTGGACATCAAGTACCGGGTGAAGGGGGGTCTTTTCAACATATGACGACTCCAAGCAAGAAAAAAGGTGTCGGCAGATTCCATTACTGAATTTCAGTATGCAGATGACCTCACCCTTGTTGCTCACACTGAACACGACCTACAGGAAATCCTAAACACCTATGCAGATGCGCATGCGCACTTCGGCCTTGAGGTGAATGTACGTGACTCAGATTCTCTTTCAGCCAGCTCCAGGTTCAGACACACCTACACCATCCATCCAGCTTAACGGTACTACCCTCTCTAACGTTACCCACTTTCGGTATCTTGGCTCCCACCTGTCCACCACCGCAAATATCGATGAAGAGATTTAGCACCGGATCAGATATACATCTCAAGCCTTTGGCAGACTCCGAAACCGTGTCTTCAGCTGTAGGGAGTTGAAATTATCTACAAAGCTGCATGTATATTGAGCAGTAGTCCTCCCCACCCTGCTATATGGCAGTGAGACATGGGCCACATACAGGAAGCACCTCAAGGTACTTGAAAACTTTCACCAACTTAGTCTACATTACATCCTCCGAGTTTGCTGGGAAGACAAAGAGAACAAATGACTGTATTCTTGCTGACACCAATTGTAGGAGCATCGAGGCTACCATTATCCATGAACAGCTACGCTGGACTGGCCACGTTACCCGCATGGACGACAGTAGATGCCAAAGCAGCTACTTTACAGTCACCTAACGCATAGTAAACGTAACGCCGGCGGGCAAGTGAAAAGGTATAAGGATAGTCTTAAGACAAACCTGAAAAAGTGCCAATCGACCCCCTCACCTAGAAGATGATTACTCCACATCGTAACGCTTGGAGGATAACCACACAAGAAGGTGTCAATAATGTCGAGTTATCCAGACTGCAAACCGAGGCAGACAAGCGCCAATACCAGAAAGGCATGCCACCCCACACACTCGATGTAACCCTCCACATGTACAAAATCTGTGAACAACTCTGCAGGTCCCGTATCGGCCTCTTTAGTCACCTCAAAACTCACCAATAAAACTGACATCCCTAATAACTCATATCATTGTATCATAGCTGGATGATCATCATACTCGATTCCGAATGACAGCAAAGTAGTAGTACAGTGAGTTCTGCTATAACGCGTGTTTTGATAATGCGAATTTGCTCTAACGCGATTTATGAATTAGGAACGATATTTGTATAACGCGAACGCTTGTTTGCTATAACGCGATTTTTGCTTACTCTTTCTCCAATTTTGTGGTACAGTGGGGTATGCTATAACGAATCTAATTGGTTCTAGAACCTTGTTCCTTATAGCATTCGTTCGTTATAGGATTAATCCGTTCCAGGCCCCCAAATACAACCACTTAACACTGAAAAATATAATATAAAATTTTAAAAATTGTAAAAAAGTGCATAAATATGCATCTAAACCCCTGAAATAAAGAATATCATTAATATTTGTAATAAAAATAAATAAATTAGAAAAAAAAAAAAAAATTAAATTATGTTCGTTGTAGGAGTTTCGTTCGTTATAGCATTCTCAATTTTATAGGTAAAACCGTTCGTTATAGGAATATTCGTAGTAGGATCCATTCGTTATAGCATACCCCACTGTATTAACTGTGAATATAGTAAAGAAGAATATCAACAAGAAGCGTTCTGGTGATAGAATTCCCGGTGATGATCGTAAAAGAAAGGATATAACACTTGAAGAGAAGCTCGATGTTATCAACCTCAAAATCACCCTTCTCCCCCATCAAGTAAAGTGTTACATTTACTGTATGATTTCATTATTAGATATGAATGTAACATTTATTTAGACTGTGCTATCCTTTGTGCTAGGCTAACTACTAAATTTTTTCGATTTCGAGTAATCTGCACCTAACCCTATTTTCTCCATAAGCCCTGTTATTTCTATTACGCGATTTTCTATAACACGATATTTTACAAGAACACAATTATCGCGTTATAGCAGAACTACCTGTGTAACATAATACACACTCTAGTTTTGCTCTCTTCCCAGGAGGATTACCATCACCACTGTTTGAATTATTTAACCATTTTTCTGTGGCTAAATGTGTCTTGAACTTATAGCTAGCCAATCACAGTGCAGCATTATGGGCGAGTCCATATTAAGAGTGGGGGAATAAACTACTCGCTCTCTGATCCAAAATGAAGAAAGAGGCCAAGGGATTGCTTGTTGACGGCAATTTGAAATGACAGCGCACGGCAGGAATTTCAAACGACAAATATTTCTTGCCCAGAAAGGGTCAGGACTAATCAAAATCATGAATTATGAGGTCCCGACTTTCAAGAGTTTAGGGTTTTCTGTAATAATTTTCCTATAAAAAAATTTTACAAATTAATTTTCAGTGTACTGTCTCATATCAATGAGGGCATGAATTTAGGCTGATTATACATATTTTGTACCATTATTCAAAGAGCCATAAATGAGAAAATTGTAAAAAGCTACATATACTGTAGGCTGGACCTATGGTCATACAATGAGTATTGTTGGAAAAATGAAAGATGAAATTGACCATAAACCACAAAACTTTACCTGATGACAGAAGTGAAAGGCAATTCCATTAAGTTTAAAAGTTACATGCATTTTGGTTGCAAATTTATTTTATAAAAATACAATACCCTGTACAGTACTAGTACAATAGATCTATAGATTTTGAAATTTGGAGGGAAGGTTAAACAAGTTTCCTTAGACAAAAATTATAAACAAACACAGCACAATGTTTGTAAAAATACCATGTAGTGTATTCCATGAAAACATACCTTCAGCAGTCTTTGTCGGGCTTCCCTGTCTTCACCAACAACAGAGATGTTCAGGATGTTATGGAAAAATACAGTCAGCATACCAAGTCGTTTCTTCCCCGTCTTTGGATTACACACCTAGAATGAATAATTATTGCTATGGTTACATCATATATTATACAGTATAATTATTAACAGGGTATAAAAGGAATATTACCTGCATTACAGTATGTGGACATTTGAATTTTGGATGTTTTAATTTTTCAGATATGAATTTTCAGACTGTACAGCAGAGTACAGTACAATATATGCTTAGTTAATTTTGCATATACAGTACCTGTAATGACAGCTGAGTCACGAAAATTTGCAGGTAAGGTACCAGAAGACATTGGGAATTATCATATCGCAAATTAATGTTAGGTTCCAGAAATAGAAAATTACACAAAATGTTCCAAAACTGCTTTAATACACTAAATATCATAAATAACACAATAACACAGATATTGTACCGAAAGTAGTTCTATAATACAAAAACATATTCTTCCCTTCTTGTAATCATTCTCTGGGTAACACCATTAAACCAACATATAGATGAGCAGGCTGGTTGGCTGTCCAGTGTCCACCTATGATGTAAACAAAGCACCAAGAATTTAATATGACTCAATAAATCATCAAGGGTTCAGTGTGGGTTTGGGAGGGGGAGGGAATCGATTATATTTTGATAATTTTTTATTAACCCTGCCGTAGACGAACCTAAATAATATGGGTATTATGGTGAAATTGCATACTGTTGCTATAAATGGGTTGTGAGTTGGGGAATTTTTATTGTGTCCAGCCAGCCAACCTACCTACCTACCTTCCTCTAACAACTCACACCCACTCTTCATTTTTTTTTATGTTATACCCCAGTAATTTTCTCTTATATTTTCTTTTTTCTAACTAACATTAGAACAATGAAATTTTATTTCCAAAACTTTTATGGTTACCTATGTAAATAAACACTGCAGAATCCAGCACTCAACCACAAATTATGAATTAAAAAATAAACAAAAAATTAAAGAGGTACTACACTATAATAATAGAGGTACAGACCTGCGAATTTGTATTTTTTAAATTATTGCGACTCCACTGCATATTAAATTTTACAATATTTAAATTTTCTCTTAAACTTCCCCATTCCATACCTTACCTTTTCTAATGCCAGTCGTCTGCATGCTAGCAATACATGGTTGATGACACCCATATAAGTTCCTTCTCGTGAAGTTAGTATAATCCTCAGGCCAAGGCAATCATCCCCCAATTCCTGTTAAGTCAAGTACCATTTTATCAATAACCAAGTTCTTTAGTTATTGTACACGAGATTCTATACTAACCATACAGTATGTAATTTAAAAATTCATATTTATAATACTGTAGTATTCATGAACATTTGGATGTGATTCTATACTAACTAATATTAGTGTAATTTTAACAATAAATATTCAGATTATCCATTAATAATCAAATTACAGACCCTATGGTCTCTAATTCCAATTCAAATAAACTTACTATAATCTCTTCAATAGTCATATTCTTTTCTTGCTCCTCCTCTTGGCAAGCAGTGAAAACCAATGCATGATGAGATGATAATCCTGCAGAACTGATGGTTGGTTTTGATTGTGAATCTTTTAAAGAGGACTTCTCTCTTGTAGCAGACGAAGAGTGAACTTCTGGAGTCGAGGCTTTGGTGTGGGAATTCAAGGTGGCCGACTTTTCATGTATATCATTTGCTGTGTCTAATTTTGGTTTTGTATCAGTGAGTGTTGAGTTTTCTTGCAAGAAAAGCATCACAGAAGAAGGTTGCTCCAGTATATACTTCAGAGATGACATGATGAAATTTTAAATTGTGCAATCTAAACTAAATGGTAAAAATACTGGAAAAAAAAAAAATGTAGATTAGGTTAGAGGTACCAGTAGTAGTATACAGTGCTTAACACAGTCTACATTATGAGTGTTAACAATCATGAGTCAATAAAATGATCTTGAAACCAAGATGAAGTGTGATATAAAGGAATACAAATGTCAAGAAATCAGGAAATAAATGCAGTACTGTACAGTACAGTATTAAAGAATTTATATTGTATTCTAATTTAGGAAAATAAAAGTTGAAGGGATGCTAAAAAATTTTATGCAAAACCTAAGGGGTCGAACTATACACGTGTAATATTTTTGTGGAGTTAAAATTCATGCATTTTAGTGGGTCATTTTCAGTGATCTATAGCTAACCAGTGCATGTTCACAGTAGGCTAACCTTACCGGTAAGCTCATTTAACCTGGGCTTGCCTACTACACCCATTTATATCTACAAAGCTTGATACATTCCCCGCATGTGAGCTATATACTATGTTGTGGTTATTTTTCAACTTGCAATTTTAAGGAGATACAGGGGCAGATCCAGGGATGGGTCCTGGGGTCTGGACCCCCTCTTTTCATCAGAAAATTACAATAATTTTTCTTTAATGTACTGTATTCAGGCATTTTGTTAAAGTAAAAAGTAATTATTACAAGTACTGACTACAGAATATCTCCTAATATCAAAGTGCACATGGCTTCAAAATATTACCAAAATGCACATGATATTGGCCAGATTAAAAAAAAAATCTGGAGGCTTACAGCACCCCCTAGCTAGGTGGGCTCACTATGTTCACAAAGTACCACCCCGCCCCCCAACTTTTTGGATCCGCCCCTGATATACATAAATTTTGTCAATTATTTTTACTTAGTTACATGCATACTCAATCTTACATACAGAATGTGCAAAAAAGTAAAAATAATTATCATAAGATCAAAAACATAATTGGAATGAATGTTTCTCTGTGCATTAGGAGTTAGCACACTGTGGAGGGGAGGAGGGGTAAGTAGAGTATGGGATCTAAGCTGTTCTGACTTGTCTCACTTGTGAGACAAAAAGATTGAGAAATATTGTCGTCCAGCAGCCAAATGGCAACACATGTAGGTACTGTACAGTATTTTTTCTTTCCTTTTATTTGTTCCTCACATTTACTGGTAGGCATACTGTACTGTATACAGAACTGTATATTATTTTATCTTCTTCCTCACAGCAAAATATCTTATTCTTAAAACATTTTGATAAGATCCACCGTAATGTGAATCATCACAGTACAGGATGTACCAGTAATAAAAATATTTAAATTTTAGTGCCTTTATTAAATTTTATTTGTATAACAATAATATCCATTTAAACTAATATTAACTGAGAACATTATAAGGGAATACTGTATCCTAATATTATTACACTGTACAAAATATATAAAGTACTATCCTACACAAAAGTTGCTTCTACCAACCAGTCCCAGTGTGTCCAAATTACCTGAGGTTGAATCAGTGAAGCAACTGAAGAAAATGCCTTGATGGCCCAACATTGGTCCATCAAGGCATTTGAGAACTTTTTGTGGGGAGTGTACATGTAACAGTAAAAAAAAATAAAAAAATTAAGAAAGTTTTTTTATATCTAAATAAAATTTCGAGTTGCAAAATAACCATAACATAGCTCACACCTCAGCCTGATAGGAAGAGGGATAGGGGGACGTGGCTGCCCCAGCTGACTCCCGGGGGTGCATGATTTGAATTCATTGCTTGGAGAAAAATTCGCCTAAGCAGTACAGTATTACCAATTACTGAGCACAGTATATTTATTAATGATCACAATGTTTTACTAAGAAATTATAAACAGAATAAGCAATGGTAAGAAAAAATCCGACACTTGGTAAATCTTATGCTACGGTCGAACCATAGTTTGCCATCCAATGGTCAAGATATGAAGCCCACCCCCAAAAAAGCATGGAGTGAAATTACTAGGAGTCAAATCATCATAAGTGAATTCTCTAGAACCTGTTTTATTACTTCAACCACGAGAAAATTAAACTTCATTACAGTTAAACAGTTAGAAGCATCACTTCTATAAGAGTCACACAAAACACAATTCTTCAATACTTGTAATAGGTATATGTTCTTCTCGTTGTTACAGGATCTTAAAACATTAATATCTAGAAATAAACGTATACTGTAATGTGACTTGAGTATCCGGGATCATTTCATATATGAAATCTAACAGGTATAAATATACTGTACACAAGAGTCCTTAATGTACAGTACTATATCATTCAACTTACAAAATTAATCTTGCTTTGAGCCCTTAACTGGTGACTCTTTGAAGGCTTTGAAGATAAACAGTGCAAGAAGGATATGCAAAATGACCACAGCACAAATGGCACCATAAACATTGGATGTGGTTTCACTGTAAGACAAGAGATCTGCAAAAAAAAAAATATGTATTGGTATTTCGAAGAAGAATTTATGGTGAGAAATACTGTACTGTATATACAATATGCTATACACTACTGTATATTGCCTGTAGTGCATTTTCCAATGGGTAGCCTAGAAGTATCCATATTTTGTGCTTCAAATATAACGAAAAGATAATTTACCTTCAAAGACGTAGGCCTTAGTGAAGAAGAAGCTACCAATGGGTAGGACTATGATCATTATCACATATGGGAGAACAGCTGCCATCAACGATCCATCAGTAGGACCCTGTCATAAAAAAAAAAAAGTTTGCATCTACAGCTGGGAGATAATGGCTTCAAAATAACCTTACTAATTAGATTAAATCAAATATAAACACATATATACAGTTGCCACAAAAGAAATGTTGACATTGTGTTCACCTTGAGATTTGGAGGAGAATAAACACTAAAAACATGACTTACATGACTTTTATTACAGTATTTATCTTACATTTAGTATTTGGTCATGTTGCCTTTCGTTTTCAATACCATCTGCAGTCGTTTTGGCATTGATTGGGCAAGGTTGGCAAAGTAGGAGACGTCCATGTTGACCCACAACTTTTTCAGCTCCTCCTGCAGGTCCTTGATGTTGCTGGGTCTGGCCTCTTGAATCTTGTTTTTCATCACGTTCCAAGCGTTTTCGATCAGGTTTAAGTCGGGGGAGTTACCAGGCCACTCTAAGACATCAATTTCATTGTCACTGAGGAACTTTGTGACTATTTTTGACTTATGGGCAGGGGCACCATCATGCATGAAATGATGACATTGATGGATTGGCCAAAACGGTAGCATATGGTCCCTTAACACCTCGATATAATTAGTTCCCTTCATCGTGACATTCTTGAGAAGGAAGTACAGACCTCCCCTGCCCTCACAACCACTAAAAGTACCCCACACCATCACACTATCTGGATGCTTCACTGTCTTGACGGTGTACTTTGGAGAGTACCGCGACACATTCTTGGGCCAACGCACGATCTTCGAGGCACCCCTCACCAGCCTAAAGGTGCTTTCATCACTAAACATCACCTTCTTCCAGTCGTCTGATGTCCAGTGCTGGTATTTCTTGCAGAAATTAATCCTCTTCTTCTTCATAGCCTCGGTGAGAAGAGGCTTCTTAGCTGCGCGCAGAGTCGGTAAACCGAGGTCTTTCTGGAGACGATGTTGTACGGTCCTGATTAACACATGTTTGAGGAGGTCTGGGTGCCTTTTCCACTGTGTAGAAGCTGTTACAGCAGGATCAGACATCACTTCACGCTTCAAGATGTTGTCTGTCCTTATTGAGGTCTTCCTAACAGCCCCACATCCCACTTTCCTCTTCGGCATAGCTCCGGGAGGTAATGGCGCCGCAGCGTGTTTGAGGTTGTAAGTGGAATGCCTTGAAAATTTTAAGTCTGCGGCTACGCATATCACAGACATACTCAGTTCTAATTGAGTTAAAGCCCGAGCTTTTTCATGTAGTGTGAGCTTGTTGCAACCCATTCTGTTCAGTTTGAGTGGAGACATAGGCTCTCAAAGTTGGCGCACGTGTGGAGAACGGCGGGTGGTGGAGATACATATATTTGCACCTCTCTCTATCAAAGCGCGAGGCTCACTGAAGCGAGCGGCCTTGGTGGCTGGAGGTGCGTGGGAGGCGGTTACATGATCACAAACACCTCCCACTTTTGTTAGCCTGGGAGCTCAATTAAAATCTTTACGCTGCATGCCGTATAAAGATTTCATTTGCGCCAAAAATGCAAAGATTTATTTTGCGGCGACTGTACACATGGATGAAACCAATAATTCAACATAAATTACTGTACTAACAAGCAATATGAAAAATTACATTACAGTATAAATCTAAGTTAAATCTAGAACACTAGTCAAAATGTAAAATCTCTTCTGTATACAGTACAGTAGTTTACTACTTCTTACTGCTGGCCACCAGGTCAGCGGGAAAAATATGAAGTTCTTTGCAGTCATATTTCCCACCTCTGCTGACAGTCATGTAATATTTCAATGTGATTCTGATCTTTTAAAATGTTGTTTTTGCATAATGTAGTATTATTGATACGTAATTTGTCTTAGTATGCCTTATTGTGGGTAAAGAAAGTATACCTGTATATTAAATGCATCTTCCGAAAGCGTGAATTTGCTACCAGAGTTTAACAGTTAATTCATGTATAATACTTCTGATAAACTTCCTACGTGCTTATGTTTGAAATAATGAATGTTTGTATCTTTATATAATTTAGCTAAATATCTTTCTCATCAGAAAAGGTCATCCCAACGATTATTAATAAACTCATTTAGAAATACATCATTACAGTACTTTAGGACAATATCGGGCAGGTTTGCAATAGCCAATCAGCTGTAAATTTTGAGGAGGGGGCGGGGCATCTTTTCTCACCTGGGAAAAAACGAGCTATAGGTAGTTTACTTTGAATAAAACAATTTAATACAGTACTGTATAAGGCTTAAAATGTATTACAAGTACTATCTGCCCCCCCCAGCTAGGAAGTTAGGTAGGTTTCTTTGGTTGATTAGTTAGGTCAGGTTCTATTAGGGGTAAAGATTCATTTTAGGTCAAACACAGAATTTCATATTTCTATTTATGTAGGGAGAAAGAAAAAAGTATTCATCTGTATTACATTTCTGGCTCAATTTATATTTTCAACCATTTCAACCGATAAGATTTCCCCACGTACCAACAATATTGGTTGTTGAAAGTCAGCAAGGCTTTAAAGTAGAGGGATAATGTGGGGTAAAATACAAAAATGAACACCAAACAAACCTTTGAAAACCTTACCTAACTATAAAAATCCTAAAACTATAAAAAGCTGACCCGGTACCTTATCGTGATTTCGGTGTTTAGATTGGTGTTCTTTTTTGTATTTTACCCAACATTTTCCCTCTACAGTAAAGCCTTGCTGACTTTCAACAACCAATATCGTTGGTAAGTGGGGAAATCTTATTGGTTGAAATGCTTGAAAAATATAAATTTGCACCAGAAATCTAATAGAATATTTTTTTCTTTCTTTCTCCCTGAGGTAAAATACAGTAATAACAAAAAACAAACTTTTGAAAACCTTACCTAACCTTTAAAAATCCTCAAACTATAATAAGCGTTTACCTTATTCAGGTTTTCGGTGTTCAGATGAGGAAGGAGCTATAAACTCAATAGCAATTCTTAACATTTTAACAAGTTAGGAAATGTTAGGTTTGGTTTTCAAAGGTTAGTTTGGTGTTATTTTGATTTTGGTATTATTATAGTTTTGGTCACCCAACAAATTGTAAGATTTAAAGTTTTGGAATCGGTAGTTTAGACAATTCTAAGGTTGCATTTGAGAAGCAGTACTGTGACCGATTTGGGTAAATTTTTGCAAGTTGCCCATAATAGCTTTGGACATAAAATTTACGTTTTTCCAATAATTTTTTATGTGTCTTGAACGATTCTAACCTTCATTTTTATTGCAAATGAATCATTTTTGAGCTTGACAATCTTGGGGGGTCCATGGGAAATCGAGGTTTTTGGGTGGGGAGTGTGCAAAAAAGAGTGATATACTGTATGACCAAAGTTGGCTCGGATTTTCCATTTTTAACAAGTAAGGAAAAGCCAAAATTTGAGAATCCAGACCAAGTTTTGGCAAAAGATTATCATCAAATTTAAATGACTCGCCAAAACACATCGAAAAAATCTAGGTTTGATCTCAAAATCAGTTTCTGTACTAACTTAACCGCCATTATTCTGATTATATATATTACCTAACCAAGGCGGTCTCCCCCTGATCAGGGGGTGGGGGGGGGGCTCCACCTCCAGGACCCCCAACAGAGCTCATATCAAAGCAAGCAACCAACCTAACCTAACCCAAAAATATTGTAGGACAATATGGGCAACTTACAAGAAAGTACCCAAATTATTACCAGTTAGGTTAGATTTGGTTGACATTAGGTTTTTCCAATGTTTTTTGTATTTGGAACGATTCTGACCTTCATTTCTACTAAAAATGACTACTTTCTGTGATTTCTCCCCACATAAAACCCCTGGTTTACACTGAGTCCCCCATTATTATTGAGTAAGGGGAGGAATAGCTCAAAAAGTTGTGATTTACAGTGCAAATGAAGGTCAGAATCGTTCAAAATACATAAAAACACAGGAAAGCATAATTTTAATGGATACACCCCATTAAGTCACCGATCTGGTTCATCACCAAAAAACCCATTTCGTCATAAAAAAAATCCGTTTTTTCACCACTAACAGACCGTTAGTCGCTGGTATTAGTGACAAATTGTAAGTTATTATTTTACACGAATATAAATTACACATGTATACAGACGACTCGAGAATTACTGTTATTATTATACTGTACATGAATATTAATTACTAAATAAAGGAAACGATTAAAACAATGGTAAATAAACAAAATATAGAACAAATGCAGGCATATTAACAATGTTTTTATTTTTTATTTTAGTCTTTAATTGTCTTTGAGAGATACTTGCATGATCCAATGTACAGCATTGTTATGCTGAAGCATAATTTTGTATCACAATTTTGTAAGCTAGGTGTTTTGATTATGTTCTATCCCAAGCAACAGTTATTTGGGCAAATTTAGTGAAATTTTCGTTTATATATTGTTGTGTTAATTATGTAATGATTTATTTATTATTGTAATACCCAAAGACAATTGTTGTGCAAGTATTGTGGAATTGTTGTGATTAATATTAAAGCGAGAAGACTAAGGAATTGTACACCGGTAGTGTGCTGACTATATAATAGTAGTGTGGAGTCAAGCTGTGAAGGCATTGCCCTGTTAACAGTGTTGTGAAGAAATAGTGTTTATTAAGGAGGAGCTACAGTTGTTTGTCTGTACACTGATACCGATCATCGGTAAATTTCCGGAGACTGGCGGGACAGCCAGTGGCAATTGAACACTTGCAAGACATCTACTGCCTCTGAAAAAAGGAGAGTCGTAACAGTATGTACACACTGCTTCAGTGAATACAGAATGAAAGTCCAAAGTCCTTGAAATGGTGATGGGAATGAATGTGGTGACAAAATGGGTATAAACTGTGGTGACGAAACGGTTTGGTGACGAAATGGGCACACCTCATTTCAACTTCCAAATAGGTGGATGACCAAAACAACAATTTTACCGTTATTTTTAGTATTTTAACCAATTTTCCCTTTGCTTCAAAGCCCTATCCACTGTGAATTACAAATACTGTTGGTAATTTTATCGGTTAAAATACTCGAAAAAATATCTGACGGCAACGCTTTTTTTTTTCTCTTCACCCGAATATGACTTGATATATATGTACTAGGTGTTGGCAATTTCTAAATATTAACCCCATGCCTCCATTATAACCATGACTTACACCATAGCACCGTAAGATTTTAAGATTTTGCATATTACAGGAATGTACCACTCATATGGGATCGAGCTTATCTGTTAAGGCCAAAATGGCATTTACTGTAATACATATCAATGTTTAACTTCTTCACAACATCAAACTCAAGTAATAATGCCAACCTTATCTCCAAGAAAACTATCACCACCAGGCACAGATGAGATTGTCTTATACTCCATCAGACAGGCCAAGGATGGACAATACAGCCACAGGTATACTCAAGTCTTGTGATCTGTCCCGGCCAGCGTCCTCAACACCTGTGAATAACAAGACACGTCACTCCTGTCTCTGGCCTCCGCTTTGTTAAGTGAGTGATGTTTATTCAGTAGCAGACGTCTTACAAATTTATAATGGATTCAGATAAATATATACTAAATTAGAACAAATATATTCATTACTTGGCTCTATTATTTCCACATTGGGTTTGAGCTTCAGGGGTTCGGTAGGGGTTTTAGGGTTCATGATAGTTATACATCCAAAACATAGATGGCGTTAAATTCAGAGTTGCCAACTTAGCGACTTTGTAGCTAGATCTAGAGCTTTTTGTTTTTTTCTAGCGACATTTTAGAGCGATTTGCGACTTGTCGCAAATCTAGAGATATCCACAGAAATCTAGCGACTTTCTGGATACTTTTGGACTGTCCATGAAAACTCAGTTTTCCTAATTTCGAGCCATAATATATAGCAACGGGGTTACAGGGACAATAAATAATAAGAAAAGTTTAATACATTTGAACGGGTCGTGGTACAGAAGGAGGGACACGTCTATTTCCTGATCACTTGATGTCAGCCCGTCCATGGCTAATGTTGCCGTGTCGTCATTTATTTGTCTATTACCTTCGCCTTTGTAGCACCTGGGTAACTTACCTTTTTGTCAGATATGCAATATGAATTTCATTAATACGCTAAATTTTAAAGAATATTAGCAAAACATCTTATAGAATTAATTCTATCAAGCCTGCGTGGTTCCAAACTTCTCATACGCGTCCACCATGGGTGACCCATAGACTCCATACAGTTGCCCCGCAAGTCGACACTGTTCACCCGCTTTGCCAAAAACCATCAAGGAAAGTTTCCGCTTGTTTGCATGCTGTTTATTAATTTGAACCCTTCATAGTCCCAATAGAAAATGGGTAAGCCACAGTATTCGCAGCGATTTAGGAAGGAATGGCTCAGAGATGACAGATACAAAAATTGGCTTCTGGAGGTGCCAGGAGATAATAAAAAAGGATTTTGTAAATTTTGCAAGTGTACTTTGTCTGCTAAGTTGTGCGACATTGAAAAACACTAAAACACTAAAAAACACAAGAAAGCAGAAGAGCCGTTTAGTGCAGAAAGAGACAATTTTACCATTCAAGAAACTTGGTGAAGCAAAAAAAGTGGAGGGAACTCTGGCCATGTTTGTAGCTGAACATTGTTCTATTCGTGTGGTAGAACACTTAAGTGAAGTGTGTAAAGTATGTTTTAGTGACAGCAAGGCAGGCAGTGAACTCAAGTTAAAAAGATCAAAGTGTTCTGGGATAATATGCAATATTCTTGCGTCACATTTCACAGAAAATCTGAAAAATGATATTTTTACATAATGCATTTTATTTATACTCCGTCCATTATAGTCGGCATTATGAAAATATTATTTGCATCAAATTACTGAAGGGGGGGAATAATAGCTAGCGGCTTTCCATGGAAGATTTAGCGACATTAAGCTACTTTTAGGTACCAGCCTAGCGACATTTGAAAATCCGAGTTGGCAACCCTGGTTAAATTATCTACGGCTCCGGAGTTCTGAAGTACATAGTACATCACATGACCGATTCCATTGCCCTGTATAGTGTATATGTATGTCCCTTGTCCCTCATCATACTCACAGCCTAGTTTCTGGAATCTCCTGCCTGCTCCTTCCGGCTTTGGAACAGGCTTCTTGCTTTAGCCTGCATGGTTAGAAGGCTTAAGGGTACACGCTTCTGTATTTGATCTATCCATATCACCAATAATTTTTCCGTATCGTGAATAGGATCTTGTCTTTTCGTTGAAATTATAGTTCCCTTTATTGGTGTTGTTCCTTTCACTACATCACGAATACGTTCCTTGTCCTTCAGAATAGTGGATATGATCGAGTGTGAAAAACCTAGGTCACGTGAGATTGTTGCTAGTCTTTCCATTCTCATGCTGAGTTATTATCTTCATTTTCATCTCAAAAGTAATTGCCTGTCTCCTTTTCTTTGGAGCACCACCAGCACTCTCACTTTTACGCTTTCCAGTCATTATAAAGTCAATTAAATACGATAATAACGAAAGTTCACAGCGCGATCAGTATGTAGGATACGATAGTCAAACACCAACTTAGCGCTCTACTGAGTGAGGGCACCCTCGCTCTCGACCGGGACAGAAACGTTCTGTAAAGAAAATGCACGCGTCATTTGAAAATATTTTTGGTCACGACTGCCGCGGTCGTATGTCCCGACGGTCGGAAGGTCAGAGCAGGTCGTAAGTACTGATGGACGTAAGTCCAAGCAGTCGTAAGTCGGGGACTACCTGAGTATGTATATATATATATATATATATATATATATATATATATATATATATATATATATATATATATATATATATATATATATATATATATATATATATATATATATATATATTTCATTAACCCAATAAACACGCGGACTTCTACATACAATCAACACCTCAACCCGCCAGGATTCGAACCCACGACCCCATGACTGTGACCGGGGAAAGCTAACCGCTGGACCACCAGGATACTAAATGCAGTCCTAGACTCTGTTATATTTCACACAAAGCCTGTTCAACGAGCTTATGGTGCCATGAACCTCTAATGGGGACTACCCGTATCACGTAGGTGGTCAGAGTAACATTTTACCAAATCCGGCTTCGAAACATGATTATCCATATATATTTCATTAGCCCAATAAACACGCGGACTTCTACATACACTCAACACCTCAACCCGCCAGGATTCGAACCCACGGCCCATGACAGTGACTGGGGAACGCTAACCGTTGGACCACCAGGATACTAAAAGCAGTCCTAGACTGTTATATTTCACTCAAAGCCTGTTCAGCGAGCTTATGGCGCCGTGAACCTCTAATGGGGACTACCTGTATCATGTATGTGGTCAGAGTAACGTTTTACCAGCGGTTAGCGTTCCCCGGTCACAGTCATGGGCTCGTGGGCCGTGGGTTCGAATCCTGTCGGGTTGAGGTGTTGATTATATATAATATATATATATATATCCCCACCATCTTTGCTCTTGTTTACACTTACTAAGTGTCTGACTTTGTGTTTTTGTCATTTCCGACTTAGTATGTTACTCAATCATGCTTAAATGCCCCAGTGATAATTCCTCTTGTGCTGGGCAGCTTGATATGTAATAAGGTGTATAATAAAGTGTCTACCAACCTCAACACAGTTAAATAGCAGTCTTAATTTATGCTTTACTTTGCTTATTATGCTTGCTTTATTTTCTTGACTGACAGTGGGCACGACAAAGATATGTCAAGGGTAGATAGGAGTTTTTGGAGGGTGACCGGTCCTTAACCTACTGAATTTATGTTCTTATGGGATTAATTGCTTCGATAACCGTTGATTCACAAACTAACGACTTTTCCTGGTCCCTATGTGTCGGTTATCGTAGTACAGCTGGACAGAGCTGGAGCTATGAGCTTATGTCCAGAGAGCATAAGAGACATGCTCTTTTAGTAACACTCTACCAATTTCTCCCTCCTGTGTGAAATACTGGGCACCAGTGAGGCAGATGTTCAGGTCAGCATTGACATTCTGCACCCTGGCCTGAGGGGGCTGTCTCTAAAGAACTACTACATTATCATCAAAGACTTGTGTCATCGGTTGCGTTAGGTTTACCCACGCAACCAACTCCAAAGTTTGTTTTACTAGAGATAAGGCACCCAGCGAGCCATGACTGTTACATATATTTTCCATTAGTGGTATGTTAGGCAGCCTTTAGTGGGAGGCCAGTGTTGTACTGTTCATCACCTCACGACCCAAAACCACATTTTAAGTAGTATCACCTAGGCCATGGGTTAGTTAAGACGTTGTCCCCATCCTCTCCCTCCTGAAGGGAACGGGACACCACACGAGTCCTCCACCCCGTCCTGTGGACCGTCAGTGACACGAGACCAAGTGTACTAACCTCGGTTGTTATCCCCGTGGAAATATCAACTGTGGATGCCTGGTTGCGACAAGAGCAATCCAGGTTGGCAGTAAATGTATCACTTGAAGAATTAAGGCTCTGTTAAGTCATACCCATAGTAGAGTAATCACATGTGTCCCCAAGTTGAAAATTCCCTCTTTTAGAAGATTAATTTTATTGCAGCGTGAATGTGAGTGACTCGTATATCCATGCAAATTGTAAATCATTGTATGGAAGCTTGACAAATAAATGTAAGTGCAATTATTTGCCCGTATCTGTGATCCTATCTTATTATTACTAAAGGTAATGACTGATTGGTTATGACAAAGTATAACCAATAACTTAGATGGATGTTGAAATTAATGGAACTCATTAAATCATCATTTATCAAGTATAAATCATGGAATGTCAGGTGATGGAGTGAATTTCTACATAGAAACACCATAATCTCCTGTGAGTAACCAGTGTGAAGGTATCGAACTCTACGGTAAGAAATATAAGAAACACAATATATCATAATCTTTATATATAATCCACACTTAGACCACTACGATGAAAAACCATAACAACTTGCGATATATAAAAGTGGTGACTGTATAAAATAAACAAAGCATGACCACAAGGCATCTCAGTGTAAGTGATACCCAATGATTGCAAATACTGTACATTCTCAGTTCTTTCCTTGGGGAAATAAAAAACCCTTAATTTGTTTTTGTTTAATAGCAGGTTACTCTATGCCCCTAAGTGGGGTTGGTCTTTTGTAAGCACCAAACCCAATCACAGCTTCAAAGCAACATGCAATTATCTTTCATTGTTTAGTACCAATTTCTATATGAAGATAAAGTCTATGTGAGGATCTTGTATAAAACACACCATGAGGTTAGTCACATAAGATGCAATTTGTGGTAGTCATAAACTCCTTCAAGACAATACGAAGGAAACATTCTGAACTCAAATTAATTTCTTAAGTGTTAGTGAGCAGTAATACTGGTGCCCAACTGGCTGCTGTGTGCCAGCTTGTGCCAGTTTGATTACTTAATCTGTATTATAATGATTATGACACAAGACAATTCTGAGCATGATTCATAATGAGACTACCCAGGCACTGTGATTGGAAGAGTTCCCTGTAAAAAATGTAGTTTATTTGAAAACTACAGGTAAAATAACCAACACCCAATTCATAACCTTAAGATATTACAGTCTTTACATTGTACATTTTGTTGATTATTAAATTTAATTGACTACTATAAACTTTGTTGAAAAAACTTCCACTCCCATTATCCACATATCAAACAACCAGACAGAAGCATCACCTGTATTTACAAAATAAGCTGCTGTATTTAGGCCATATCGTTTGCACAACACAGGGATACATTAAACAAACGCAAACTCACTCTATACGTACATCATAATAATAAGACATTCACTCTCTATCTGGTGTACAGTAAACAGGTGAGTAATAAGTCTCAGTTCACATGAGTGGCATTACTGAATTATCATATGCATTTACACATTTTTTTCGGAATACTAACCACTAGTTATTATAATTCTACTGATGACTAAACAAAAGCCCAAATTGGTATTTTTCATAGAGAAAAAAGTAATAATAAACATCATCCACCATTTGTTGCTTACCAAATGGTAGCTTTTCAAAGTACTTGCATTTTCACATTCTAAACTGATGGAGAAGAGAGATTAACACTATTTTCTTGTAAGCTTACAAGCAATTGTCTCCAAACAATGTAGATTGCTTCTTAAAGCTAGCTCAAACAACTTTCTTAATGTTACACATTGAATATAATGTTTATATGCATATCTGTATATTAAGAAACATAAATGTCTAGAATTACTTATAGCATGTGTATCCACCTAGATTTGGATGTCCGATTTCTCTATTACTATCACCAACTATGAACTAATTTCATGAAATAGCCAATATACCCTCTACATATAAATGTGTATATTTTATCAATGCAAAAGGTAAACAATAAATGTAAGAGCTGTAAGCAAATATTATGGGAAACTGTGTGCAGGCAATAAAGAGAGTACCTGGATGATACCAGCTCTGATTCCTACATTCCTTGAAATAAATGATTGCCACACTAAACATTAAATAGTGGAATCACATTAAACTAAGTGAACTACATAGAACTTCTTAGCAATGAAAGAAAAAGTAAAGTATGACAACAATAGTGGCTTGCATCTGATTTGCTGTCAGGAATTGCTGTATTACTGTTACTTATCTGAGTGAGAAATATTCACTCTTCATTTCAGGCCATAGTACTGACAAAAATATTAACACCCCTGTTTCAACAAAACTAAAAATTTGCTCAACAAAAATACTGTACCAACTCTGTCAACCATGGTTCTAAGATCTTAAAGAAATCTAAACTATGAGAACAGAAACATTCCAAATTACAACATACCCATATTAGAGGAAAGCTTATTAAACAATGGAAAATAAAAAAAAAACTTCCCTTCATCAAATCTTTGTCTTAAGTCGAAGGGTAAACTATTTATAACTACTGAGATTAAAGCTACATGTATCTTGAATACAACTGAATAAGTCAAGGCCGAGTGATATCTAAATTAAGACCAGAAGATCGTCTGTTTGAACACAAAATTCTACTAATCAAATACAACTAAAGAATTTTCAAATGAAAAAATCTTATTATTTAAAACTTATTATAAAGCAAAATTGGATGTAAGCACGTTTAAGATTAAAAGTTAAGGTCTATTACAACTAGCTCACATAACTCTACTAGCAATATAGCTGAAAAAAATAATATAATACATACACAAACAAATTCATAAATATAACTATGATATTACAGTATCATATCACCTTGTTGTTGATAAATTTCAAGTTTCTATTTCTTATATTCAAGAACATATTTGAGGCTGTCAACAGAAATCCCCAAGAAAACACAACTAATTTTAATTTAATTAAAGGTAAGCATTCACCAAGGTATGTACTTCACTACATGTTGACTATCATAATTACATCTTTATCACACACATTGAAGTAATTCACCATGCATACTGATCACAGCTCATTCTAGGGTAACATTCACCAATGAAGACCTCCACAAGGCACATCATTTTGACAAAAACTGAGACAATTCAATAATGATCATCTGTAAACAACTATCTACCTAAATAAAATATGGAATGATGGTATCTACAATACAGTAATGCAGTAAAAAAAAATTGAGAATGTTAATGAGACAAGCAAAGCTCTGCAGAATTAAAAAGATATCAGGATGATAACTTTTCTAATAAACACATACTAGTCTTCTTTTATTCCTTTGTCTGATCAGCATTTACAGTCATTTTCTCCATTTGTTTGGAAACATCTACTGCTGCCTTGTCATCTGCCTGATCGTCAGTCCTGCTGTCTGTTTTTTCTTTTGTATCATCCCTTTTGTTTTCCTCCTCTTCTTTTGTTTTAACTTCTGCCACAGTCACAATACCTCGAGCTTCATTAAATACCTCCTTGAAGAGTCGAGCATCTGAAATTATTTGAAACAAAATTAATGTGTAGATAGTAATGTTTGACTGGTTGGTAGGTTTCAGCTACTTACTAATGTAGTGTTGTGGGAGGACACTGATCACATTTTCAAAACAACACAGTCGACGCACCTTACAGTCGTAAAAGCACAGAAAATATCACTTCACAGTCACCATAACACAGTTCAATCTAAATGTTAGCTGTTGTTTCACTATAAAAATAAAAAATAAAAAATGTAACTGGATTTATGATTGACAAAAACCTAACACAGCGGTAGTGCGCGGGTTGGCCGTGGGGTGGCGCATGGGTGCAACATGTATCGGGTTAAATATTGTTTTGTTATAAAATGTCATAGACTTGACATAGAAAAATTTAATTTACATTGTTGGAATCCTTGCAAGACAGTGAATAATTTGAATATACACAACCCATAGTTCACACTAGAGATAAAAAAATTCCAACCAAATGATATCGATGGCTATTCGATGGATATCATTAAGGCGAGTTGTTTTGATCATAAATAGCAAGATGGTCTTAATTTACAACCATTGTTAAAGCAGAACATCGTATCTTGAGGTTTACCTGTATTGATTTTCCACACACAGTATTATTATCAATGATTCAATATTATTGTAATTTATCAAATTTTCCAATCGGTAACACATAAAATTTGCAATGGAGATACATATTATACTCAATGATTTGTAGGCGTATACAAGCATTTGTATGGCTCTTATTACATTTCTTTTGTATTATCTGTATTTTATTCATCATTTTCCACTACGTTTCCGCTCTTTCAAATGAAACTATGTACAGTACTAGTCGGTGTATACAGTAATGAGTTTGAGGTCCACATTTATGTTTACACTATTGAAAACACAGTTATGTTTCCAAAGATTTCAGTAGATTATTTTTTCTTCATATGTACGCGACTGTGTTCAGGTGTTCCCACCAATTCCTACCTCTGGTATTATCCACTTGCAGGCAAAGGTGTCATGGTGGCAAGTCACTCTTTGTTGCCTGGTTCTCAGCAAATACATAAGAAAGCAAAGTGTCACTGTTTTTTTTTTACATGAAATACGAGGGTCATTAAGAAAGTAACGAGACAAATGAATATAACTGCAGAAGTAATGATTCATTATTAATCATCACATACATATTTTTACACATAATCTCCCCCTAAAGCTATGCACTGGTCTAATCTTTCTTCGAGTTTTCTTATTCCTGTGGCGAAAAATTCTTTCGGCTGTCTCTGTAACCAATTTCGGATTTTTTTCTTCACCGCTTCATTATTTGAAAAAAAGCTTTCCACGTAAAACTACTTGGAACAAAGCCGTGTTCTGTACTAACTCAGACATTCAAATCTGTTGCAATTTGTTCAACTGTTATGCGTTGGTTTCCAAAAAATTTCCACACAATGTTCTGGTGCAATGTGGGTTGAAACTTCAACAGGTCATCCAGCACGATCTTCATCCACATTGCTCGTTCGACCATTCTTGAATTGTTCAACGCACTTGTAAATGTTGACTCAACTGATGCAATTGCTTCTGGATTTAAATGACATTCTGTGATGAATTTTGCTTGGTTTTATCCCTTCCGAATTTAAAAAACCAATAACAGATCAGTTTCCAAAGTACAAAATTCAAGCAGATAGGTTATCGTTAATGCAACACTTACTCGAAATTAATCGAATGAATTGACTAAATAAACCGATGAATATGTAATTAATGCATGTGTAACCATGTTGTAACATGATTGCTGCACTTACCCTCCCCCTTTGCCGTCTACATCAAAAAGTCTAGTTACTTATTGAATGACCCTCGTACATATCTCTATCTTATTTATATGAATATATTACTACTAGGCACACATACCCATATATATGCATACACACACACCCACACACAAACAAACACACTTCATCCTTGACCACCGAAGGGTCAAGAACCATCTGGCGCAGCTCTGGCAGCTGCCAGGCCAACTGTAATATTAGTATATACTCCAATTACCTCCTCTCCTCTGGAATATCAGCAAGTTCTTGCCAGAAGTTACAATTTCAGTTTGGAAAGCAGTGGAACTAGTGTTGAACAATGCTTAAGCCAGTGATACAAATTAACAGTAACAGCCGAGTCTTACCCAAGTTAACCTTCACAGTGAGGTCCCAGGTACCTAGTGATAACTGCCCATGAAACACAACAGCAAGCAGCGATAGGGAGGCCTGGGACCACACTTGACTATACTCCACTTGAATGAGTAAGGTCCTGTAACACCAGGCCACGTAGTGTTCCCATGACGCTACGACACACGTAGCGAAAGAGTTGCTACAGCATCATGTGAGGTCCCTCTTAACACCATCTGTGAGGTAATTACTGCACCATATGAGGTCCATCGTAACACCATCAGTGAGGTAATTACTGCACTATATAAGGTCCCTCTTAACACCAATTGTGAAGGAATTTCTGCACCATATAACGTCCCTCGTAACACCATCTGTGAGGGAATTACTGCACATGAGGTTCCTCATAAGACCATCTGTGAGGGAATTAATTCACCACATGAGGTCCTTCATAAGACCATCTGTGATGGAATTACTGCACATGAGGTTCCTCATAACACCATCTGTGTGGGAATTACTACACCATGTGAGGCCTCTCATAAAGCCATCTGTGAGGGAGTTACTGCACTTCATGTTTGCTATTCAACACCTCAGTGCACGTAACCTACGTGACCTCCACAGTAAACATTCATTCGTATGTTCAGTATTCACTGTATGTTTCTGTTCCTTTCTCTAATGAAAGGTTTAATTAAACAACCCTCTCCCCCATGTCAATGTATGTAATAAGTCATTTATGTCCAATATATATTTTCAACCTTCGGGCTGCTGAACCTTTTCAATAAACCATTAATTATTATTATTATTATTATTACACACACAGTCAGGATCGTACAAACGTGAGAGCTCGGCAGCCTCTTCAGGGGATAGGAAAGGTCGCCTATGTGACATGCTGCATGCTTGCACATCAGGGGGTAATTAATGCATGATCCTGTGATGTGTGGTAGCGCTGCCGGGTTGGCAGTGTTGTCAAAAGTCCTAGAGTTGTTTGAAACGCTTCATAAAAATCAAGCTAATTGTACTGCATGTAATGCCATGAGGTACTGGTAACATTTAATCATGGAGCAACAGCCAACACCTATTGTTTATCGTGGATATATCCGTAATTGACGCCCAATGGATTAAACATATATGAAGCATCTTGTAGTAATAAAATGTTCTTTTGTAAATATTACATACAAAATTGCCATTTCTTCTATAACCTTGTGCTGTATTCACTTTCAATTTTCTCTTCCTGCACACTTCATCATTCTGCCAAATATTATGTAAGAGCACCATTGGCTTATAACAGGTTGTGACAATTTTAAGCATGATTTAACCCACTCCCAGTCTCCCCAATTGTCTTATACCATAATGCATTGGGTTGACTTGAGGGTACTACTGTAAAGTACATGCTAATTCTTTGCAACTAGAAATACTTCTCAATCTAATCTGCAATGAAAATTCCATATATGATGAAATCACTACTTACTCTCAAGTTAAGCATATTGTATATGACAATATTCCATGTATAAGATACTGTACTTACTCTCTGAATTAGCAAATCTGATGGCAAAGAGCTCTTGCTTTGGTTCCTCATCTGCAAAATCGGCTACAACAGACCACACCCATGCTCGATCACTGCCACAATTTGGCTTGAGTTCCATGTAAGGTGTGATGTAATGGTTTGCACGGATCTTGAGAGTCTTATCTTGCCGCATCAACAAACGTACCTGACAAATGAAAACACCGGTGAAATAACAATCCTCTTTAATGTGAAGTAAAAATGATATTCATCACTAAAATCCCTCTTTTACATCTGCCCATGATGCATATCTACAGACTACCGGTACATAAGATTAAGTTGAAATAAATGACAAGGTATCAGCTCTAAGAAATACAAGGGCACGAGGAAAAGAAATGCCTTCTACTGGCCCAGCCAAGACATGTGATTTTAATTTTGTAGTGATGCACCAACATTATAATAATGGTTGCTTCTCATATACAAGGATAGCCAGCCCAAGGGCAACATGGGCATGAATTTTTTTAAGGTGTAAAAGCTGTCGCCAACACAACCACCACACCCAAAGTTAATTGCATGACTCAGTGTCAAGGAATAGTCTGAGAAGACTGGACAAGTTGCCAACTGCACTGGCTAACCATTACTCTGGAAAATGAACCACAAATCACTTAACATCCAGGTCCCCAATTACTGCTGAGTAAACAGAGGCAAATGGTGCAAAGAAACTTTCCCGTAATTTCACCCTGTCCAAGAATCAAACCTGGGTCCACTCACCTGTGAGGTGACCATGTTGACCATTACACCACAGGTCGTCACCAACAGTAAGACTACTACTGTACTACTATATAAATAAATAAAATACTGTACTCTAGTTTACCACTAAAAATAAAGGCATTTTCATAATCAAATGTAAACAAGGCTTGGGACTGATGCCATACCCGGTATACATTGACCATATGACTTCTGACTCACTTAAACTTTGATACACACAGTATGGAGAATCAAAAGTTAATTTCAGTGAACAAAACCACATTCACTACCAAAATGTTATTTTCAAACAATTTAAAAATCAAAGCACTATTTTTTTTCATTATTCACTACAATATTTTACATTATGTTTAGGTAAATTTTCCCTCTCATTACAATGTACTTTTATTTTTTTTAAAAGATTTTACAGGTTACCCCTCTTACATTATAAATGAAAACAGCTTTGAACTGAGGTAGCCTGTTTGGAATCTTAGCCAATAATGTCGAAAAAGTATGAAAATTGACAATCTTAAGTGTTGATTCCAGAGAGAAAGAAAAAAAAAATAATAATAATGTTGCTTGGATCTAGGTCAGTGTAAGCACCAAACTTTTCTGTGCAGTCCATGTTGTGCTTCCACAGTCTTTTGTCATAAATTCGCCTTTTTTTCCAATAAATTTGTATTTGCATTCAAAAGTTTTTCTGAGTGACTCGTAGCCGTATGTGTCAGACTAATCCAGTAAGAGACAGAAATGCAGAAAAAAGAAATAATAATGCTTTGTATAGCATAATAATGGATGGTAATTTACATTTTCAAAGCCGATAAAAGCTTTCTGAAACATTAATTCCACACTCGTCACTGACGCACAGAACACTTCATATCATTATCATCATGATGCAAGATAAGTGAAATCATATTACAGTCGGCCCTTAACATACACGGGGGTTACGTAACAGAGATACCTGTGGATGTTAAAAATCCGCGTATTTTTGCTGCCCCCCCCCAAAAAAAACCCCTGGCCCCCCCCCCATGTCCTTATTTATCGTATATACCTGTGTGTAGTTCGAGTTTTTAAGACCAAATTATTTGGCAAAAAATTGGGGGTCGACCTCTAAACAGGTAATAGTTTCGTTAGGTTGAAAAATATTTACCAGTAACTACCAGTAAACAATGGAAATGATGCACCAACGCACCACCAGCTGTGAGTGTCGGTACAGTTGCCAGGGCAGATCTCTTGCGTCATCATAGCAAGCCCAAAGTAGCCAAATCCATGGTATGGTAGCACAGGACGATGTAAAACATAAAGTATTCATTTATTAAAGTTTATTTATAGATACTGGACATAAATTTTTGTTCATTACATTTGAAACATCAATCTTTGTTAATTAAATTTGAAACAAAAGAAAACTACGATACCGTATTTTCATTAAAATATTACATCACAAGTATATTTTACCTCAACTGTAACTGAATGACACGATTCTCATGAATAATGATAATATTACATGGCGGATAAAATTAAAAATGACTGCTATTCAAGATGCTTTTCGAATGGTTTTCAGTTAAAAAACTGTTGTACTCGTACTGTATTACAATAATATTCTATCCTATCATTAGCCTTATAATCCCACAACTGAAAACCATTCGAAAAGCGATTACGGTAACATCATTTGAACGAAAGAAAGAGAAAGTCATTGCTTTCGTCACAATTTTATCCCACTTTCCACTGTAATACGTACATCATTTCAGCAAAAATATTACATTTCCATGTTCTCAGAAATAATTGGTAGTTTTGTTGAAATGTTATGTACAGTATTTAATATTAAAATGCAAAACTAGCTATAAAAACAATTAATACACCCGTAATGTACTGGCTGGCATCTCGTCCCTGCTCCCGCGTCCAAGGTTACCACTCCTCCCAACTCGTTCCCTCCGCTCCCGCCTCCACCTCCTCCACCTCCTCCACCTCCTCACCGTCACTACTGCCGACAACAAACACAAATGTTTTGTGAATAACTGCACCTCCAACTCCTATGTACAGTACTGAACTGTACTGTGCTGTGCATTTTTACAAACAATAAACATGGCAAGGAAAGCTATTTAAAAAAAAAGAGATAAAAATTTCACTTTACTGTACAGTTCCTATCCTCGGCGACAGGATAGGGGTCATCGGGCTCATCGTCACTCAATTCCATAACGGGTGGTGAAGTGGGGGCGACAGTGGATTCAGCTGCTTCCTCACTGCCGCCAGTGATTGATGGTGTTAAATCTCACCTTCGGTGATCAAAGAACATGGTGATGGGGAGTTGTCGTCTCTTTCATTCATTTCTTCCATGATGTTTTTGTATGGAGCGAAAACATCATCCATCCCTCGCATGAATTTCAGGGCACGCACCATGGAGGGGTCCATACTATAGGCCAGGTTTTTCAGTGCCTCAATATTCCTGGTCATCTCCCCCAACTTCTCCAAAGTTATTTCTTGGTGCTCTTCCTCTTCCTCTTCCTCATCCTCTTTCTTGCCTGAGTCTACTAACTCCTGTAGATCCTCCTCGGTCAGCTCAGTGTCGTGCTCTGCAATTAGCTCCCTAATCTTGTCCTCTGCCATGTCCTGGAAGCCTTCAGCAGCCACTTTCCTTGACAGTGCCAGGGTCTTTCTAAATATATTCATTAAAATCCATCAAAATCATTTTCCTTGTCATCGTTTTAAGCGCCAAACAGCTCCTTCTAGTCTTCTCCTTGAACAGGGCTAGAGGGTACGTGTTTTTCGAATCGTTTTCAATTAAAAAAATGTTACAGCACATGTATATTTTACCTAAACTGTGCCTGAATGAATATATTCTCAGAAATAAATAGTAGTTTTGCTGAAACGTGATGTATTTCTATGTAAAATAGGATAAAATACATGACAAAAACAAAAGACTTTACCTAACCTTCCAACGTTCAAGAGATGTTACTCGTTTTTTAATAGTTTTCGGTTAAAATACTGTTATATTACAATGATATTATATTCATACTGTGCTTGATATACTACATTCACGGAAATGTAATATTTTTGCTGAAATGACGTACGTATTACAGTGGAAAGTGGGATAAAATCGTGACGAAAAGAATGACTTTCGCTTTCTTTCGTTCAAAAGATGTTACCGTAATCGCTTTTCGAATGTTTTTCAGTAAAAAAACTGTTGCATCACAAGTGAATTAGGATTGAATATTATTGTATTACAACAGTTTTTTAACTGAAAACCATTCAAAAAGCGATTACGGTAACATCTTTTGAACGAAAGAAAGTGAAAGTCATTGCTTTCGTCACTTTCCACTGTAATACCTACGTCATTTCAGCAAAATATTACATTTCCATATTCTCAGAAATAAATAGTAGTTTTGATGAAACGTAATGCATTTCAATGTAAATTAGGATAAACTACATGAAAACAAAAGACTTTACCTAACCTTCCGATGTTCAAGATATGTTACTCGTTTTTTTAGTAGTTTTCGGTTAAAATACTCTTATATTAGTGATATTCTATTCATACTGTGCTTGATATAATACATTCACGGAAATGTAATATTTTTGCAACTACAATGCTGATGTCAACACAAGCGTGGTTACAGCGAGACTGACTGAGTGAGGGAGAGCTATGTATGTGTGTGTGAGGTTGCGGGAGCGGGCGGTGTCCCGTGTTCGGTGCCGCGTGCGAATTGAATGGCGCGCGATTTGAATGTTCTTCAATTACTTCAATGTACAGAATATTCCTCCGGCGGGGCAATCCGCGTATTTTCAAATCCGTGTATGCTAAACCCGCGTATGTTTAGGGCCGACTGTACAGTAATTTCTATAGATTATTATTTACAGCAATATCAGTAACAAAAGGGAAAAGCGTAAATGTGAATGTGCGCAGGCCTTGTCCGAGACGCCAAATGGCTTGACTGCACTTTTCAGGTTAACCAAGTAACTCAACCTGATGCAAAATAAGTACAGTAGGCTCTCACTAATAATGTTTAATAGGTGCCTGAAAAACACCGTTATTAGCGAAAATGTTATTTGTGTGACATTAAAATACATGTAAAAAGGGTTTATTGGTGCCGCTGCCACTAGAATTTCACCCATTTTTTCCCCTTGAAGCCCTCCTAACACTTTTTGTTAGCTGAAATAAAAAGAATTGTTATTCAATCATCAAAATAAAGAGTTTGAGTAATATAACACTTAGTTTGGGGGAGTTTTTGAGGTGCTTGGTGTGATGATTGTTCCATATCTGAGGGTCACTAACACTTGCACTGGCTTTCATTCTACCAGCTAACCATTTCACAAGAAAATGCTCTGTTATCACTAACAACCTGTTTCTATCGCCTTTATCATTCATAGCTCGCCTTGCATTTCCATCACTACCGAAATATTTTTAGCCAGCACAATACTCTTCTTGGTCTCCTCTAAGTTCCTCTTAATATTTCGCACTGTAGACTCAGGATGGTTCAATTTCCTCACTTTAAAAGTTCCCTGTCATTCAGGTGGCAAACCACTCCCTCCACCACCTCCCCTAGCCCCCACAGGCAAAAATGCAGAAGCCATTATTGATCACCGACCCTAACAACCACTGGTTATAGTGGTGAAAATCTCACGCGTGGGCGCAGCGCTGTATTCCACTGAGCGTGTGTGAGAGTGAGGCGGAGTGGACAACTACGTCATCAACATGGCGGCAAACAAACGCTATCATTGATGCGCTCGGACGATTCCCGCGAAATTTCCGTTATTCAAGAGAATCCAGACGTTATTATCGAAAATGGGTGTCGATTGTAACTTACCATTATTGTCGAAAACGTTAATGTGGAAGTCGTTATTGGCGAGAGCCTACTGTATGGTGTTTGGGCACATTCACACAAATTCAGCAAATGCCAGCCACAGTTTTGTCACATGCATAAGCACGAGTATTTCACGGGCCAAATTACAAGCGTTTTTAAAAACTCTACAAACTGTCAGTACAGTGTATGTGTGCAGCAAAAACTCACCGTTTTCTTGCTACCATTCTTCAAAATCTTTACATCCCCAGTCCCTCGCTCCTTCCATTCTGCTGGAGACTCAACAGTGTGATAACGGAAAAGTTTGCATCTCCTGGAAATGAAAATTTCACGATCAAACTATCCTTTCTGACACTAGGAGTTCGTTTTAGTTTATACTGTGGATAATGGTAACTGCTTGTTAAATCATGAACATTAAATATGAAAATTATCATAAACAGGATGAATGGTGTGAAAAAATAGGGATATGTATTGCCTTTTGGGGTAATTTATGAGTTACAAACTGTAATGTACCCGGTAAGTTCTAAAAATATGGTTTGTGGAAGATGTGGAGTGTAATCCTCAAATAATGCATCCTCCTTCTGAATCCACAACTGGACCATTATTCTTTGCACCGAATACAAGTTGTCATACAACACAATTACCAAACACTCAGCAAATTTGTAATACAGGTACATCCCAAATATTGTTACAGCCCAAACAATACCACCTTGTCAGTTACATCTACAAAGCAGCGGGCAACTATAAAGTTGTAATTTTATGGTACAGTACTGTACTTTAATTATGGTAATCAGTACTTAGCTTCATCTAAAATCTACAGCTACCCTTAGTTACTGCCACTAACAAATATTTAATATCTACAATTTAGAAAATAAACATGAATAGGATTCTTGAACATGGTTTCATATAAAACAAAAGTAACAATACTTAAGCCAAACAAATTAATATGCATTGTTCTGTTGACTCAGTACACAATTGATGGCAACCAAACATTTGTAATCCGTCAGAAAAGCATGCTTTCTATTAATTAAATTTTTGCATTAAGCATAAATGCTTTAGAAAGAGGGAAAATATTATATATGAATCTTCAAGTATTAGTTGATGGCTTAGGAGTGAAATTAAGAAGGTTCCTGAAATGAAAATAGCAAATATGAACCAAAATGATGTTTGGTATTGATATATTATACAACATGAATAGTAATTCAACTTACAGCTTTATCATCTCCTCCTCTTCTTCTTCATTAGTTTTTATATGAACTTCAGGAAGAGTAACTACTGGCTCAAAATAAGGGTCATGTTCTCCTTCTGTAGCAGCTACACTGTCTTCTGACACATTACTGGTATTAACTGCCGTGTCACCCTCAGGGTCTGTCTGTTGATTAACATACATCTTATGTAGAAAATTATACTTATCAATAATGAAATGTGAGCACCAAATATGGAACATGATCCCATACTTCATAACTTTAATAGCAAATCAGTGACAAGGGTAAATATTAGGTACAATGAAGAGTACAGCCATCCCCCAATATAGGATGGGGTTATGTTTTTTTATAATCTGATCCAATATTGTAGCATTTTTATCCATAAGGTCCCATTACAGTATTAAGCCTCAGATCAGGAGTTCCCAAGTAATCCCGTGTATTTTGCAGGAATTAAGTTCCTGAAACCCCCGCGAAAAGCCAAAACCGCGAATACTCTTTTAGGAATCACTGTACCTGTGGCCACCAAACAGCTCGGGTAGGTCATGCACTTAACCACGCCATGCTTTCCACTCACGGCCCAGTGGTCTCACTGATGCACTGTACCGGCATTTACTAACATCATTATTTGAAACTAATCATATTGTAGTATAATAATGGAAAAACATAAACACAGTTATATGCAAAAAAAATTTATTTGCAAGTAAATAAAACATTTTATATTTCGCTGAGATCAGCAACACCCGCATTGCCAGCCTCTCCCTGCTGTCCCGGCATCTGAAAGCCCTCACGCAGTCACGCCAGTCAGCCAGTCCTCTTCCACCCACATTCCTCCACTTGAAGACTTGTATTCTGACAAAAGACACAAATGAACTGTCAGACTTCACATCTCGAGCCATAGCTCATACCACCTCTGAGCTTGTCCAATAAAATTGTTTTTTCCGTTAAGGTCATCACTATTCTTGATCTCTTGGTCACTTTAGAGTCTTTGCTAGTAATATTTGCCTTTGATGAGGCTGGCTTACGTCCCGGAGCCATGTGAAATGCACGTGGGAGGACAAACAGAAGAGGTAATCACAATAGTGTTCAGAGTACGGTAGGCATGTGTGGACTGAGGCTTCTCGGAGCAGTGGGTATCTGAGGCGGGAAAGGGTGGCGTCTGTTTGCCGCACCAGACAGGAGAATATTGAAAATGGCGCAAAATTTTAATTTTTGTTTTCAAAGGTTTATTTTATATACAGTGGTCCCTTGATTAACGACTCTGTTATATTTCACACAATGCCTGTTCATCGAGCTGATGGCGCCGTGAACCACATTGGGAACTGCCCGTGCCTCGTATGTGGTGTCAGTAGCATATTACCGAATCCAGCTGGTATGAAACACGAGGTACCATATATATACTTCATTTTTAGTCCATATAACAAGTGGACTTTGAACATATAATCAACGACCTAAAGGAAGTGTGTACAGTGACCCCTCATTTAACGAACACCTCGGTTAACGTAATTTCGATTAACGAACTGCCTTCCATAAGGATCTTCAATTCGGTTAACGAAAAAAATTTCGCTTAACGAACTTCTTACGAACCGACCTCAACATGTTTTCGCTTGCACTGACTGGGCAACCAGCTTTAGTATCAGTCCGCCAATACATTAATCGGTTCTAGGGCTTAAATTCCTTACTATTTTAGTAAATATCAAGAAGTTTATACTATTCAATAATTTTAAAAGTTTAATATTCAATTTTTTAGTCATTTTAACAATTATTGAGCAAAATTGAAGGTAAAGTCACTAGTTTAATGCGCGGCATCAAGCCTCTTAACACAGCAAACAGGTGTCAGTCTCTCTCTGTTTTCACTGGAGGTAACATCTTGCTTGAGACTCTCTTCAACTAAACACTTTTTTTCTGTGTTTCCAAGCAAATTATTGGTCATTTTGAAAATTATTTTACATATTGACAATATATAGTGCAGTGCAGTGTTATTTTAAAGAAAATATTCTTTATTTACAGCTAGTTTAACTTTGAAAAATACGTGTTGCCATTGTTTGAATCCAGCATGGGGCTCCATACAAATGTTTGCCGATGACGCCAAGTTATTTCGGGAAATTAAGAACCAAGCGGACTGTGAAGAGCTGCAGAAGGACCTCTGTGGGCTCCAGGAATGGTCGAAGGAATGGCTGCTGAGATTCAATGTCACGAAGTGTAAGAGGATGCACCTGGGGCGTACCAACGGTAAGGAGGCGTACCATATGTCCCAACGGGATGAAGAAAATGTACTAGTTGAGACTGTGTGTGAGAAGGACCTAGGTGTGTATGTTGACAATGAGCTGAAGTTCTCGGGCCATTGTGAGAAGAAGGTAAATCAGGCAAATAAATTATTGGGTCTTATAAGAAGGTCGTTCAGATATCTAGACGGTCCGTCCCTCGTGAAGATCTTCAGGAGTGAAGTGCTTCCCCATCTGGAGTACTGTCACCCCATCTGGTCCCTGAGATATGCTAGGGACTGTCAGTTGGTTGAAAATGTTCAAAGGAGGGCCACCAGACTGGTGCCTGCACTTCGGCATCTCAGCTACCCTGAGAGATTGGAGCGCCTGAACTTGCCTAGCTTATACTACAGACGGGCAAGGGGGGACCTAGTTGAGGTTTATAAGCATCTCAGGGGGCACTACTCAGTTGAGTGTCCTTACTTGAGCTGGCGGACGCTCGCCCCACAAGGGGTCACAGCTCAAGATTGAAGAAGCCGCAAGTCCGGAAAACCGTGAGGGCAAACTTTTTCGGGGTGAGGGTTGTAAACTCTTGGAACAATCTACCAGAGAGTGTTGTGACGGCACCGAGTGTGAGCTCTTTCAAGAGAAGACTTGACCAACACTGGAGCAGGTTCAGGTACATTCAGGAGCCGGTGCATGCCCAGTATTTGCCAACAGTGCGTGACAGAGACGTGACCGATCGCCCGGGCGGCTAGCGAGCCGACCTTTTGGTGAAGAATATAAAGGAAAAGAGACGTGACCGATTGCCCAAGCGGCTAACAAGCCGATCAGTGGCGAAGAGGATAAAAGTAAAAGTAAGAAAAGCGATTTCAATCCAAATAAAGCAGGAAATAATAAAAAAACACGAACAAGGTATTAAATCAAATGCGCTATGCAAAGAATATGGCATGTCGGCATCAACTGTGTCAACAATTCTTGCACAAAGACAAATTTAAGGAAGTGAACGTGAGAGACAAATCTACAAGAGTGTTTAAAAGTAGATCCCTAATCGTAGAAACTGAGAGGTTACTTATCATCTGGATTAGGGAAAAACAGATGAAAGGTGATTCAGTTTCTGGTGATTTCATTTGTGAAAGAGCCAGGGAGATTTATGAACATTTAAAGGCAGATCAACCTGGTTCTTCAGGAACAGAATTTGAAGATTTTCGGGCTAGCAAAGGCTGGTTCGAAAAATTTAAGAAAAGAAGTGACATTTTAAGTGTTGTTAGGCATGGTGAAGCTGCTAGTGCTGATAAAGAAGGGGCAGCAAAGTTTTTAGTTGAATTTAAAAAACTGATGGAAGAAGAAAATTATCTTCCACAGCAAGTGTTCAATGTGGACGAAACTGGGCTGTTCTGGAAAAAGATGCCCAAAAGAACATTCATCACCAAAGATGAAGCCTCTTTACCTGGGCATAAACCCATGAAAGACCGTCTCACTCTATTGCTTGGTGCCAATGCTTCAGGGGATTTCCGACTGAAGCCTATGCTTGTCTACCACTCTGAAAACCCCAGGGTGTTCAAGCAACAGAAAGTGGTAAGAACAATGCTTGGAGTTTATTGGAAGTCCAACCGTAAGGCATGGGTGACAAGACAGTTCTTTAATGAATGGGCTGTTGATGTGTTTTGCCCCTCTGTCAAGAGCTACCTAACCACCAATAAACTTCCTTTAAAGGCTCTTCTCCTCATGGATAATGCTCCTGGTCATGACCCTGACCTTGCCAGAAATTTGGAGTATCAATTTGACTTTGTGAAAGTGTTGTTTTTGCCTCCAAACACTACATCACTCATACAGCCAATGGACCAGAATGTAATCAGCAACTTCAAGAAGTTGTACATGAAGAAAATATTTAGGAGGTGTCATCAGGCAACTTCCGCTGATCCTGAACTAACACTGAAACAGTTCTGGAAGACACAATTCAACGTCCTGGAGGCTGTAAAATTGATTGTGTCATCATGGCAAGAAGTCTCTAATAGAACCCTCAATTCTTCATGGAAAGCACTGTGGCCATCAGTAGTCCATGATTTTGAGGGATTTGAGGATGACACAGAGTTGGACCAGGAGATTGTGTCCATTGGTCAGTCATTGGGCCTTGAAGTGGAGGAGAAGGATGTGGAAGAGCTTGTGATGTCTCATGAGGAGGAACTTACTCCTGATGACTTGAAGGAACTGGATGAGATGTTACGGATAGAGGCTGACAGTGGGGAGGAGGAAATTGAAAGTGATGACCATATGTCAGCTAAACAGTTGAAAGATGTGATTTACCACTGGGATAAGTTCAGGGAACTGGCTTCAAAGCACCCAGAAGTGGAAAAAACTGAACTAACTTTGTGTCATGTTGAGGACTCAGTGGTCTCCTTCTTTAAACATAAGTTAATGGTGAGAAGGACAGATGCCCCACAGACCACAATTGACACTTTCTTCAGTAAAAGGCAGAGGGAACAAGATGCTAGCCCTCAGCCTTCCACTTCAAGAAGGAGAGAGGATGTTCATGGTGGAGAATCTGTCAGTCCAGAGGTTCCTGACATTTTCATGGAAGGTGACTCACCTTCCAAGAAGCAGTAAAATGCTTCTCCTCCACCTCCACTTCCTTCTCTTCTCCCTTCTCCTCCTGCACCTCCCACTTCAAATGCACATCATCACCATCATCCAGGAGCCTTCTACATACACACCTCAAAGTAAGTAAATTTTTCCGCCATTTTTGTTGAAGTTAGGAAATTTTCGGTGAGCTGGAACCAATTACCCAAAAACCCATTGAAACAATGGTTTCGGTTAACGAACGTTTCGGTTAACGAAAGACCTTCTGGAACGGATTGAGTTCGTTAATGGAGGGGCCACTGTATATATATATATAGTGTGTATGCCTTGAGTAGAGCCAATGATTTTCTGTAATAATAATAATTATAATACGTACAGTAATAATA